TGCTGGGGGAGGGAGTGATAGCAGCAGGGTAAAAAAGAGAACGAATAGAGATGCGGTAGAGAGGCGGAGAGAGGGGATTAGGCAGTAGGGGAAAGAAGGGGGATTGGGGAGAGCAGAGCCTCGGAGAGGGGGAGTAGAGTGGTGGGGGAGGAAGGAGGGGTGGGGGTTTAAGAGTGGGAGAAGGGAGTATAGAAGAAAGCAGGGCCTGGGAAGGGGAGAGTAGAGTGATGGGGGAGGCCGGGGTGTGGAAAGTGGTAGAGGGGAGAGAGCAGGAGGATGGAAAAGGGGAGTGGGATAGGGGAGAGCAGTGTTGATGGAAAGGAAGGGGGTGAGGGAGACAAGACAGAGGGGTAGGAAACGGAGGTTGTGGTAGGACAGAGAGGGTTGGAAAGTGGGGGGACAGGGAGCTGGGGAATTGGGGGGAAACAAGGCCTTGGAATATTGGGTGGGGCTGGGGGAGGGCGTGAGGTGGAAGGGGGGGGCAGGGGGACTGGACAATGGGGTGGGGGCAGGGAGAATGGGGGAGGAGCTCACGTATCACATGTACCAGTATTGGACGCATCGACAGAGTGCTGAGGCCTGATCTGCATACATACGAGGTTTCGGTCTTCGTATGGTAAAGCTTCTAGTCCTAATCACGTCTCTCTCTCTCTCTCTCTCTCTCTCTCTCTCTCTCTCTCTCTCTCTCTCTCTCTCTCTCTCTCTCTCTCTCTCTCTCTCTCTCTCTCTCTCTCTTTCTCCTCTCTCTTTCTCTCTAACTCTCCCTCTCTCCCTCTTTACCTCTTTCCCTCTCTCCCTCTCTTTCTCCCTTACCCCCCTCTCCCTCTCTCCTTTCTCGCCCTTCAAAGTAATGAGTACACTTGTCTAGTATCTGTGAGGCGAGGGGGAGCTAAAGAGGTGTCGGAAGCAAGTGTTGACGCAGAAGCCTTGGATATATTGCAGTGTTAACTTTTTCTGCAGTGTCGTTGGCGTTGAATTTCCAAGTTGAGGGATGATTCCACACGCTGATAAATATGCACACACACACGCACGCACACGCAGACACGCACATATGTGAATATGCAAATATGCATGCGGTAAATATTCATACATTGAGTCATGCATGCTGTCATATCTCTATATATATATGACTGCGTAGATTTATGAATATATCTACGCGTTCATTTGTCATGCAGAAATCCATTGGGGGAAAAATCACAGATATGGTAGCGGATACAGATGATTACGTATCTCATTAGAGTCATTACCTTAATTGCAGGCGTTACTAACGATCTGCAATACTTAAAGCGATTTAGCCTCAAAACCATTACTCCCTTCATTGCCGCTTCTCTTCTCTCTTCATTTCTCGCTCTTTATTTCATTCTCTTGTTCTCCCCGCCGTGCGCAGTCCCTTCCATTGGAAAATATTTTTTGTTATATTTGTTGCCACACCATAAGATCTGGTCTTCATTCTTCTCTCTCTCTCTCTCTCTCTCTCTCTCTCTCTCTCTCTCTCTCTCTCTCTCTCTCTCTCTCTCTCTCTCTCTCTCTCTCTCTCTCTCTCTCTCTCCCTCTCTCCCTCTCCCTCTCCCCTCTCCCTCTCCCTCTCTCTCCCTCTCTCTCTACTCCCTCTCCCTCTCCTCTCGCTCTCCCTCTCCCTCTCCGCCTCCCTCTCCTCCCCCTCCTCTCCTTCTCCCTCTCTCTTTCCTTTCTTCTCTCTCCCTCTCTCTCCAGCAACTTCCCCGCAGCATGCAACACCAGAGGCTTACTTCCCTCCCCGGCCCCTTTCCCCTTTTCCCTCTCTCTGTGCCCATACATTACCATTCTCCGCCTCACAAGCCGCGAAGGCCCACCGGACCTCACGCTAGATAACCCTTTTTTCGATTCCATTATTCTGTCTGGGGATCTGGGGATTCCTGTCTCGGTCTGTGTGCTTCTGTCTGTCTGCGGAGTCTCCCTCTTTATCTTTATGTTGGGAGGACACATCCGCGAGTGCGCGCACACACACACACACATAGATACATACATACATAATACATACATACATACATACATACATACATACATACATACATACATACATACATACATACATACATACATACATACATACATACATACATACATACATACATACATACATACATACATGCATGCATACATATAAACATAGACGCACACACACGCACGCTCACATACACACACACAAGCGTGCGTGTGTGTGTGTGTGTTTATGTGTATGTATTTGTATCTGATTATCCATTTACCTTTCGCGCCGTAACTCCTTTTGTTTTCCCGTCTAATACACGCAGAGTCCTTCTTTCACTCCATCCCTTTAAGCGGTGCCACAAACACTCAAAGCCCATGCCCTTCTCCCCCAGTGCCCTCAGACCCCTCCCCCGCCTCCCCTTGCTGAGTGCCAATGAGTGCCACTTTCCTCAAGTTAACCTTCGCATATGTCAGCTGACCTTCGAGTCCTCGTGGTCCTTCGTCCGCCTTGGCCCTTGAGAGTGCCACTAACTCTCTGTCTCCTTCCCGCAGCCTCCCACGTAGGACGGTGGCACACTTCGGAAGGATGCTTAGGAATGGGTGGCACCGACGACAGCGCCAACTCCTCCCCCGATTTCAATCTTCCGCCCCCACTGCAGCCTTCCTCTCCAGGTAACCACGCCCGCGGACACGCCTACGTGGCCGCCCGGGCTCCCCCTCCCTTCGTCAATTCTTTGTCGAGCATGAGTGTGGGTGTAGTGTCTGGCAGGGTGGTGGACGCCGCCCGTGCCAGGGGCTACACCCGTGCACGCCTCCCTGGCATGGATGTTCCTCACCTTCCCCTTCCCAGAGCACATCCTGCACTTGTGGGTCTCTCTCGTGGGCGGGACGGATGGGCGTACCCGTCGAGGCCGCCCCGCGCCACGCGCTGGAACCGTCGCTCGGCACGCTCCCCGCGCTCAGCCCAGCACGAGGGCGCGGCGACCCCTGGAGATGCTATTCCACTTTTAACCTCGCAGGAAGTTGTAGATGATATGCATGCTCATTCTGCTTTATCCTCTCTAGCAGATATTCCACAGGAATTCACAGGCGTCGGCCAGACGGCTCCCCGGAATGAGTTCGGCTCACCCTCGCTCGCCGACCCCTCCGGCGCAGTGCCTGCGCCCGCCGCTGATAAATTAAACGCATTAGATACCAGAAGTTCCGGTATTGATCTAGGGTCGGCCAAGGGCGAGGCCTCCGAGCAGCCCGAGGCCCTCGCTCAGACTCAGGAAAAACTCATATCAGTAAATCATGGAAACGGCGCGGCAGATAACACTCCGGAAGTGCGGCAGGAAACATTTGCGGCAGCTCACAACCCGCGGGATTCGGGGGACCTCGGGGGCGCCCCCTCCCTCAGCCCGTTCCCTTCGAACCCTCCTTCTCCTGTCCCCTCACCCTCAGGGCTCCCCACACCCCCCCTCCATTCCGTGACCCCCCTCCCGGGGTCTCCACCGACGCATTCTCAGCTTCGTTCCTCATTATCTGTGAGTGACCCCGGCCTCCCCTCCTCGCTTCACCTCACGACGCCTGGGGTCGCGTCGACCGTGACGTCACCAGCAGCCACGCGGGGCCACACGAATGCAGGCCTTGATGTCCCTCTCAAAGGCTGGTCCGCGCCCGAGCAGTTAGCGCGGCGAGACGAGGCGGGCGTGCATGGCAGGGAAGAAGCGGCCTTGCACGACCGGTGGCGAAGCATCATGGCAGACGGGGGAAGTGGGCTCGCTTCCTCCGGCCACGCCACCGCGCCGAGGCCGAAGAGAGAGGAGGAGAACCCATCTCCAGAGAACACCCCCTCCGACCATCATGAATACCAAGTGACTCCAGAGACACCGCCCACGACGCCCCTCGTTCTGCCTTCATTCCAGAGGCCGACGGCTGAGGAGGGAGAGGCTGCAGCACATCGAAGACACACTGACGCACTCGAGGAAAGAAAAGATCCAGACACTCAAGTTATTCCCGATCCTGCAGATTCGCCGCATGCCTCCACTCCCCCCTCCTCCTCCTCCACCTCCGCACTTTCTGCCGACTTCGATGTTAACAGCGGCTCGTCACGCAACTTTCAAGGCGACCCCGCCACGCACTACTGGCCTCGACCCGCTGACTCTCCATCCGGGAGTGGAACATACGCAGCGCCTGCCGGGACATCTGACTCGCCAATAAAAGACGCGAATTCGTTGTCGCAATATGTCATTCCGCGTAGTTCTACCTCTGCAGGGTCGCCTCGCGCTGCACCACTGCAGAGCGTTCTGCCGCACCTCGACGACGTGGAGGAATACACGTACATTAGTGATGATCCTGGCGCCTTTGATGGCACGTTCGATACACCTGTTGATTCGAGTGTCAAGTCGCCTCATCCTCATTTTGCACCTGTTGACGTCGTCACAAACACAGGAACACTAACAACAGTCGCCACGACGGTTACTCCCGGGCCGCCTTTTGTCTCTTCAGCCGGACCGACCCTGAGTACTGCCCCCATACCCTACTCAGCCACCGCCCTCCCCATGACTACAGGTCACAGTAGCACCGAAGCCCCTACGCTCATAAACCTTCGTGCAGAGGAAACACCCGGAGCGGCGCCCCGGCCCGCAGCAGCCGCCCACGACCGGGCTCCGCCAGCAGGCGTAACCTCCTCCCCTGAAACGCCCCTCGCTGATGGGGCCATAAACCGGAGCCATCCGGACGTTAATAACACAAACGTGGCTGCCTCTTATGGGGATTCTCTCGCTAATCAAACTGAATATGGCATAATGCGGCAACCACAAGTAACGCCCGCTAATAACGATAAACTAAGAGAGGGCGGTGGAGGGGAAACAGGAGGAGGAGGAGGGGAATCTGAGTCTCACGAACAAGTGGGGAATTATGAGGCCTTGGATTCTTTTTTCGACGACAGAGATCTTGATTTCTTAATCAGTGATGAACCGCAGTCGCACGACGCAGCCCAGTCAGAGCAGGAGAAAGAAGATATAAAAGAGGACTTGACTGTTTCCGCTGTAGACACGGTGGACGGTTCGCCAAGGGACTTTCACGCCTCGAATGGGGAAGGCCAGTATCAGGCTGATCAGAGCCGCCCTTCCGACTATCACAATGCAGGAGAAGATACTCAGACACATTCCCAGGATGGTGTGTCCCCTCTTTTGGATAATGACCGTCTACTTCAAAACGAATCTTACCATGATCACCCCCCTCCTTCCCAAATGTCCAGCCTCACCCAGCCCACCTACGCCCACGATGGTCTACCTCACGCCCCCGCCCCCACACAAGATTCTCAGCCCCGATATGACAACAGAGGTGAAAACACGCAGGGAATAGTGGGAGGATTTTCACGGGAGGAGGACCAAATCCCCGCGATCTCCCAGAGAGGGGACGATAAGCAGGACGCAGGTTATGAGGGGCGAGAAGAAGGGGAAGAAGAGGAAGCGCCACAGCCGCACCACAGCACCGAGAACCACAGCCACAGTCGTGTCCTAGAGGACACTGTCTTGCAAGAACAACACCAGTTCGCCTCCCATCTCTCACTCTCGCCAGGTCATCATAGCGGGGTAAATATTGATCCTCGTAAGGAGCCACTTGATGCCTCTCTCGCCATTGACGGTCCGAGCCGAGAGCAATCACCAAGTAATGCTCACAAAGCCTCGGACGCTCCTGTTGGAATTCCTACCATGATGACGGCGGACGGCGAGATGAGGGCGGAGCCGACAACACTCTCTCCCTCCGTTTCTCAGCCTCCTTTCCGCCAGCCCCCAACCGGCTCCCAGGGGGACCTGGCGGAGGAGGGGAGGAATGAAGGTATCAGTACCGGTATGCAGCGAGAGCCCTTCAGCGAGCAAGGCGAAGCTACAGTTCAAGTGTCACCGTCTTCTGCTGCCAGCGATCCTTCTCACGCCCTCGACGCGAGTAATGAAATTTCTTACGAACAGGAAGAAAGCGGTTCTCTCGCCCTTCCTGTCATCGGAGACATCTCCCTGCACCAGAAGAAGTCATCGATCGTGATGGGCGAGACATCATCATCGTCATCAGATTCCCTGGACACGGCGACCGACAGAATTGGAATCAATGACGTGACGGCCAAGGACCATCGAGTCAAGATAACCAGCAAGGACTTCCCCGACGACGATCCTACTTTTACTGGGAATCAGAGTGCGGAGGCGGGCGCGTACCCCCGGCCCTCCCCCTCGCCCCTAGACGCTCACAGCGACCAAGACACCACTCTGCAGGCGGAATATAAACGCCAGGAGACGCTCGAGGCAGAGTATAATCGTCAAGGAGGGATAGAGACGTCGGCAGGAAGACAATCAGTTTCTGGCTCTGTGGAAGCATCGGGTTACAGCGAGCGTAAGAAATTGGGGATCGTTCCTACGGCATCTGTAGCCAGCCAAGGACACCATTTCCTTTCAAGAAGCAATCAAGTGGCCGGTAATCCCAATCAGGAGTCTGTCCACACTCAGGTCAGCTCACGGGATCCTGCTGGGGGAAATAGACAAGATCAGATTCCTCCATTGAGGGGGAATTATCATGAGGAGGAGGAAGGAGAGGAAGACGGCTCGGATTTTGAGTATTATCTAGGAAGCGAAGGTTATGTGTACGACGGCGAAGCACCCGATTACGACGACTCATTCAATGACTACGAGTATGAAGAGGAAAACAGAAAGAATCAAGCTTATGAAAGAGGACACGGATACGACGGGGAAGGCGAGGGTGAGGCAAAGGACGAACAGTCAGAAGGACATACACACGAACATGGCCATGAAGAAAGACAGGAAAATCAAGAAAATAGTCATTCGAATGAACCTCCTGCTGGGTATGACCACGAGAGTCATTCTGGAAGTGACGGCGAGGGGACGCAAGACGAGAGTCACGTGACTTCCTACGGCGCAGGTAGTGACGAACTCGCAGGTGCTTCTCAGGACCAAGGGCACGACCATCAACCCCCAGCAAGTCAAACGCCAGCACAGGCCCGAGGGGAAGACAGCAGCTGGCAGATCCCAGCACCACCTGCTCAAGCGCACCAAGACCCTACCACCACGGCACGACCTGACGACCATGTCTACCACCGGCAGGAGTTCCCTGGCAGCGCCCACGAGGGTAGCTCTCCGACCCACGGGGACAGCAGAAACACCAGCAGCTTGGCTTTCGGGAGTCCGGGTCGAGACGAAAGGACCGAGGAAGAAGAGGAGCAACACCCCGCGGAAGGAAGGAATATTCCTCTCGCTTCAGCAAACGACGATGACACATCCGCTGTCGCCGGCGGAGGGGGATACACGGCGTGTGTGGGCGTTCACAATAACTCTTCTCCTGTCAGCAGTGAGGGCGCGGGCGGGACTGGCGGAGGCGGGATGGCGGGGGGAGCGGCAGGAGGCGAGGGTGGCGACGGTGACACTATTATGCCTCGGCGCGAACACTGGCAATCCCAGGATCCTCCATGCAAATGTCCCTGCCCGTGCGAGGGCCCCGGGGATCCCCCCGTAATGCCTGGACGTGTTGCGGCAAATCTCAATATCGGAGATCCGCCCATCAGCGGCCATCAGGAACCTACGACCACCACGACCACCACAACCAGCACAACCACTACGACCACCACGACCACCACCGCCCCTCCGACGACCTCGCCCCGCCACGACCACCCGCACCACCATGACGATCTGGACTTCGACTACGACAGCGATGGGCACGACGTCCATGTAGACCATGATTCGGGCTACGACAGCTCTGAAGACCACTACCACGACCCCGACCACGACTCGCACCACCGTCACCGACACCACCACGGGGACGACGACGATTACGACGAAGACGACGAGCGAGAACGCCACCGGGGCCACACACACCCGCGCCACCCTCACCGAGAGGGCGGAGGGCGCAGGAACCGAACCCACGTCCCGCTGGTGGTGCCGGGCCGCCTGCAGTACTTCGCCACCGTCCAGTACATCTCCACCGACGAAGGCCCCGAGACCTCCTACGACCCTCACGCCCACCAGGTCGAGGCGTGGGGCAACGGCGTCATCCTCCCGACCGACGACGCCGAAGAGACGGACTGGTTCCTCCGCAGACCCGATTCGACGACCTCCGCCTCGACTCCGGGTGTGTATTTTTCTTTTTTTCCGTTTTCCTTCTGTGGATTAATTTAATCGTTTTTAATTTTCCTTTTTCAGAATTTATCCTGTGGAGCCGATATCGATTTCATAACTATCAGCCTGGTCGAATGCCTTAAGTGAATACATCGTAAAAAATAATAATAATAAGGCACAAAATAGCGCGAAAACAGCGTTCGTTTCTGTATTCAATAAATAGATTAGGTGACATTTCAACCCAATATCCACCACGCGATAAAGCGTAATTACAATCTTTGTGCTTGCAAGAGGATTTTATTCTATTTGCTCAGCGAATTAATGAGTAGCAGTTATATTTTTCTATCAAAAATCATTATTATACCTTACGGTAATATCACAGCGAAGCTCCCCTTTTTCTCTTCTCGTTAACCCCGAACCCCCTCGCGATCCCCTCTCGCCCTCAACGACGCCCCACCGTATCCCTCAACCTCCCGCGAGAAACAGACTCGTTCTCTCGACTGCAGTAATGCCGTCCATTCTTCCCCGCGGCGCTCCTCTCCCCCGTTTTTCCTTCATTCTCTCCAGCCGACTCCTCATCCTCGCCCTCCACACGAAAGCGCTACACTAACTGCTGCTGCCGCTATATATGGCCGGTCGTTAAGAGAGAGCGAAAAGAAAGAGGAAAATGAGGAAATGCACACTGCAGAAACCCGAGGCGAAGAATGTAATCACCCATTTTTCAATCTCCTCGCGGGAGAGAGATAACCCGCTGCTTTGTACACAAGTAGCGGCTGACGCACGTTTTCCTCGTCTTGATTTAACCGGGAGATGATCCCGCCATACGCACACGCGGCCCTACTTGTTAAACATTAACGCGGAGAGGAAACGCGGACGCCCGTGCCCGTAGCGTAAATACTCGAGAGCGAAGAGGTCCAGAAACCGAGGCTTCTATTTATCATCCACTTTTCTTGCCCCCCCCCCCCCGTTTCTTGGCCCGAGACGTAAGAGAGGAAGTGAGGAGAAAAAAAGGAAGTGTGTGTCTACACGAGAGTAAATGGGGATAATCGTGAGACTGATGGGTAGTTTCATATTCGGGAAGATTGTGTTTCTCCCTCGCGCGTTTTGAGCTTCACAGAAAACGAGTTTGTTGAAAGCGAAAGTTAAAGGTATACTATTATAAACGTCGAGACTTGGTTACACTGTTTATAACGCCTATGTATTCACCACGTTGGTGCCATTCAAGATCATAATATTTGTTTATCATTTCATATATATGGAACTAGTGCGGGTTAAACGAATTGTTGACATGATTTTACCATCCTCGGACTCGGAGTATGTAATCATATTGCCACACTTACCACTTTGATGTGTGTGTGTTATCCTTTTATTTCATTTAATGTTTACACTAAGAACCAAACTAATCATTGCATTTTGGGAAATTTGAGATAGCATGATGTGTTATCTATAGTAACGGTATCAATAATACAAGTAATAAGGATGACGATGATGATAATGGTAATAATGATGGTAAAAATAATGATAGTATTATTGATGATAATGATTAATGATAATAATTATAATAATGATAAAAGATCATAATCATAATAATCATAATAATAATAATAATAATAATAATAATGATAATATAATAATATAATAATAATAATAATAATAATAATAATAATAATAATAATAATAGTAATGATAATAATAACGATAATGATAAGGATAATAATAACAATAATGATAATGATAGTGAGAATGACATTAACTAATGCTATTACTATTAATGAAGATAAAATGTAATATTTTTCTCAAGTGAAGTTGACATTGCTGGGAATGAGAAAGATAACCATTAACGCCAACGCTAATATAGTAGAGCATTTTTTATATTATATCACGGACAGGAATGTAAGAGAAAGTATATTCATCATGTTAACAACAATTAATCCTAATAATAAACATGCAAAAAAAATATATGTCCAGATTACTAATCTCTTCCTCACTCTGCTCGTCCACCCGGCAGAGGCCACTGTATTCTCCGTTCACGTAAGATTTTCATAAGAACGAGTTGCATGTCTTTAAGAATCCTTGTACTGCATCTTCTAATACCTCGTAAAAAAAAGTCATGTGTGATTTTTGTCCTTGAATCTTTTGTATTTTTATTAATAGTTCCTTTCGCCTTGTTTGTGTTATTTGTTTGTAATTGTATACTGTATTGTACTGAGCATTGTTCCCTATGTGTGTTTGTGTGTGTGTAGGTATGCATATACTATGTATACTTTACACTTTTTCATTGCTTGCTTACCTGCATGTTTGATCTTATTATTGCCTGCACATTGCACGCTTGCATGGAACTCACTAAACTCATGATTTTCCCTTTTAATACTGGATGCTGTCATGTAAAGGGTTATTCGAGTTAAGATATGAAAAGGTTAAGGAGTTTGGTAAAGAAAAGATATTAATTGTAAGAAAATCTGAGTTTGATGTTCTATTATTAAAGCAGATGAGTAAATGATTGAAAATATGGGTGTTTGAAGGAGAGAGAGAGAGAGAGAGAGAGAGAGAGAGAGAGAGAGAGAGAGAGAGAGAGAGAGAGAGAGAGAGAGAGAGAGAGAGAGAGAGAGAGGCAGAGAGACAGAGAAACAGAAACAGACAGACAAACAAGCCCCCGGGATCCCGAAGAAGCGCAGGCGGGCGGCGGGGGCGCGGAAGGAGGAGATGAGGGCGGCATGAATGATTGCCGAGATAAATCCAATGGGTCTTCGAGGATCGCAGCCGCCATAAACTATTATTTTCGGGCCATTTTATCACGGAAACCTTCAGAAGGCCAATTCAGAGCGCGACCTTTTTTGAGGTCATGGTGAGTGGTGACGCGGGTGACTTGTTTTCTCAGTTCTTATATAAATACATAGATATATACATAAGTTTCAGATGTGTGTGGGTGGGTGGTGTGCATGTGTGTGTGTGAAAGAGAGAGAGAGAGAGAGAGAGAGAGAGAGAGAGAGAGAGAGAGAGAGAGAGAGAGAGAGAGAGAGAGAGAGAGAGAGAGAGAGAGAGAGAGACAGAGAGACAGAGACAGACAGAGACAGAGACAGAAAGAAAGAGAGAGAGAGAGGGAAAAATTGAGAAAGAGATAGAGATAAACTTGTTCATTACGTGCGTGAGATATTTGTATGCTAGTGTATAATCTTATGCAAATACACTTATGCAACATAAAACACTCCCTCGCTGGTACGCAACAAAAAAAAAATCCTTCCACGATCCACAAAATTCGTCCCTTTATCCACATGATCCACATTCCACATTCCGTTCCTTTATGGTAACTACGTGTAACAAACGACCCATTTCCTTTATTGTGTTTTATCCTTTTATCCTTCGCTTTCCTCGCCCTATCCTTCTTTCCTTGTTCTTTTTCTTTCCTTTTTGGTCCTTTTCTTGTGTCTTCTTCTCTGGGTTTTATCATCTTTTTATTATTTTTTTTAAAGATCTCTCGTATTTGATTTATTTTCTTGGCTTTAGATTTTATTTACCAGTTTTAGAGTAACGTTTTTCTTGTTCCAAAGATGTTATTACGTTTCTCTAATTTCTTTTGTAGTTCCTAATGTTCCTTTTCCGATTTTCTTCTGCCTGATTTCATCTTCGTTTTTCTTTACGTTTAAACTCATTTTCTTTCCGTTTTCTTCATCTCTTCATTTTCCTCCTTATCCTATTTCTACATCTACTTCTACTTCTTCTATTACTAATACTACTACTAATTCTCCTCTACACCCGTTTTCTTTTCCTCTCTTTCTCTCCCTTCCTCTTCTTCTTCCTTTTTCTACTTCTCCTTCGTCTTCCTCCTTCTCATCCTTATTTTACGCCTCCCAGTCCACATCCTTTTCCTCCCTTTCATCCCTCTCCTCCTTTTCCTCCTTCGCTCCCTTCATCCCTCTCCTCCTTTTCCTCCCTTTCGTCCCTCCCCTCCTTTTCCTCCTTTCCCTCCTTTCCCTTCTCTCCGCCCAATTCCGCTCCCCCTCTCTTCATTTTCCAGCCCCTTCCCCTCCCTCCCATACCCCCCTCTCCTTCCCAGACTCAACTTAAGCCTCCTACTCCTCACAGAATCCTCCACAACATCGTATAACCTCACACAGCCCTCTCACAACCTCACACAACTTCCCATAATCGCGTTAAAACTTCATCTGACCTCTCCTGACCTCGTTCGCCCTCTGGACCCGCCCACAGGAGGTACATCTGTCAATAGGCCTTACACGCACATGCCCCCGGACGGCTCATCCTTCAACCCGCTGAACCTCGGAGAGAAGAAGGAGTTCAACCTTGCTCCTTACGGCTACTGGAACATCCACTTGACCCTGAATGACCCCACGGATCTGAGGATTGTTCTGAGCGTCCCAAGGTCAGTGTTTAGTGTCGGTGGTGCTGCCTTTGAAAGTTATTTTGAAT